TGGGAGATAGTTCATTAATAAGATCTTTTATTCCGATGAATGGTAGTCTCGTCATTATGGGAGATAGTTTGTTGATGAGGTTTTATTCCAATGAATGGTAGTCTCTTCATTATGGGAGGTAGTTCGTTGATGAGATCAGTTAGTCCAATGAATGGTAGTCTCGTCATTATGGAAGATAATTCATTGATGAGATATTTTATTCTGATGAATGCTAGTCTCTTCGTTATGGGAAATAGTTTGTTGTTGAGAATTTTACTCTGATGGATGGTAGTATCTTTGTTATGGGAGATATTTTGTTGTTGAGATTTTTACTCCGATGAATGGTAGTCTCTTTGTTATGGGAGATAGTTCTTTGTTGAGGTTGGATGTACTTCAATGATAAAGACAGTTTATTGAAAGATTTTTACAGTAGGTTATTACCCTTTCCAGGTGAAACATCTTGATTAAAGAAGAAATTGAGACCAGTTCGTGGCTCATGGCCAGGATCGAGGGGAGGTTTATCTGATTCTCCATCAAATGGCATCTCTTCGAAGAAGTCTCGTAGAAAAGTTTGTTGTTGAATCGTTGCAAGCGGAAATCTCTTTATTTGAGATAACTTTTATTTTTACCCTTTTCAGGTGAAACATCTTGGTTAAAGAAGAAACTGAGACTAGTTCATGGCTCATGGCCAGGATCGAGGGGAGGTTTATCTAATTCTCCATCAAATGGCATCTCTTCAAAGAAGTCTCGCAGAGAAGTTTGTTGTGGAATCATTGCAAGTGACAATTTCTTTATTTGAGATAGCTTATATTTTTACCCTTTCCAAGTGAAACATCTTGGTTAAAGAAGAAACTGAGATCGGTTCGTGGCTTATGGTCAGGATCCAGGGGAGGTTTCTCTAATTCTTCATCAAATGGCATCACTTCGAAGAAGCCTCGCAGAGAAGTTTGTTGTGGAATCGTTGCAAGTGGCAGTATCTTTATTTGAGATAGCTTGTTATTACCCTTTCTAGGTGAAATACCTTGGTTAAAGAAGAAACTAAGACCAGTCTGTGGCTTATGGTCAGGATCTATGGGAGGTTTATCTAATTCTCTGTCAAATTGCATATCTTCAAAGAAGTCTCGCAGAGATGTTTGTTGTGGAATCGTTGCAAGTGGCCGTCTCTTTATTTGAGATAGCTTGTTATTACCCTCTGCAGGTGAAATACCTTGGTTACAGAAGAAACTAAGACCAGTTCATGGCTTATGGCCAGGATCGAGGGGAGGTTTATTTGATTTTCCATCAAATGGCATCTCTTCGAAGAAGTCTCGTAGAGAAGTTTGTTGGGAAATCATTGGAAGTGGCAGTCTCTTTATTTTAGACAACTTGTATATTACCCTTTCCAGGTGGAATACCTTGGTAAAAGGAGTTGAAACCCGTTTCGGGTAGAAGGACTGAATTTTGGTAAACTCGTTATTATTAATGCAGATTGCACCTTCAGTAAAAGTTGGTGTATCCTTTGCTTGTTACCTTTAGTAAAAGTCGGTAGCTCACCTTCAGTAAATATTGGTGTATCTTTTGAATTTCTACCTTCAGTGGAAGTCGGTATTTCACCTTCAGTAAAAATTGGTGTATTATCTTTTCTCTCTACCTTCAGTGAAAGTTGGTAGTTTCGCCTTCAATAAACGTTGGTGTTATTATTTGATCTCTACCTTCAGTGGAAGTTGGTAGTTCACCTTCAGTAAACATTGGTGTTATTTTTTTCTCTCTGCCTTCAGTGGAAGTTGGTAGTTCACCTTCAGTAAAATTTGGTGTATTCTTTTTTCTCTCTACCTTAAGTGAAAGTTGGTTGTTTCACCTTCAGTAAATATTGGTGTTATTCTTTGATCTCTACCTTAAGTGAAAGTCAGTAGTTCATCTTCAGTAAACGTCAGTGTATCTTCTGTTTCTTTACCTTCAATAAAAGTTGATATTGTTCTCTATTTTTTCTACCTTCATCCTTGAGTGGGTAGTTCATCGTCATTCTTAGTCGGGATTTATCTCTTTCGCCTCATTGGACCTTACTTCGATAGAGTTAATTTGTTCCCAGCCATAAGTGTTGATGTTAAACCTTGTTTGCATCCATAAGTGCTGACGTCAAATATGTGTTTCCAGTCATAAGTACTGATATAATCACTCATTTACTAGTCTCGATGTTGATGTTTATCGCCATCTTTGAGCCGGTATTATCTTACTATTTCTATTTGCGCTCCTTAGGGTTAGCCGTTGTTGATCCCCTGTGAGTTGATGTTACTTTCTTTTTGCTATCTTCTCTATGAATGGATAGTTCACAATTATTGGTTAATCATTGTTATCCTTAGTTGTTGAGTGCATGTTATTTTGTCTCCCCTCTGGGCTTTACCCCAATAAAATTGATTCTTCGTTTACCCGGCGAAGTTGATTTGTCTCCAATGGATTCAAATTTCTATCCCCATAGTCGTGTTGTTCCCCAAAGATTTATTTTCCTGGCCAAACTCTCTTAGTCTGTTGATTTTATTTTTGCTTCTCTAGTGTGTCTTGTTCACATGCATGAAGTTTATATTTTACATTCATAATCATGAGAATCGCATGGCATTTTAGGGCCAAAATAGGGTTTATTTTATATTTAAGTACCTTCAATCGCGTCGAGACTAAGATTTTAACCTTCGTATCTCTGGATAGAAGACACTAAAATAAGGACAACTATCATACCCCAATTTTTACCCCTAAGATCCCGTGTTACATCATATAAATCTCATGCATATCATCAATTCCATGGTTACAGGATCAAAGGACTCTTGGCATTAGGTTTTTTCCCTATGAATTGAGATTGCTACCTTACTCAAAGTTTATTCAACTGGTGCTCTCATGATTCTTGGTATGAAATTAGTATTTTGGATCACAAGCATCATGAGCATCTTCCCTGGCAAAATTCCTCAAGATACAAAGCTATCTCCATCAAGATTCTTCAAAGAGCAATAATTAGGGTTTCTCCTAAGTGCTTTCTCCACTAGACATTCTTTTTAAGAAGTCTAGAGGATTGAATCAAGGACTTCTTTCTTGTGATGTCATTTGTTAAATGGTTTAGGATTGATTGAATATTTCATCAAATCAAGATGCTTCTTGGTGCTTAATCTATGAATCGAGGTAGGATTGCTTCTTGAATTTTAATTAAATTGAAGATTCAGATTAAGGTTTCGTTGGAGCTGATTTGAAGATTCGTTCAAGAAATGTCATTAAGTCTAGATTAATTCAAGAAAATTCGTATAATGGTTTGTATGGAATTCAAAGTTGATGATTAAAATATCATTCAATATCAATGCAAATTCAAGCCCGTTCTATGTGAATTCCTTTAAAGGAGAATTAGTTTAAATTTAAGACATTTCTCATTCATTCCAATTCCATTCAAATTCCTTTCAAGTGAGTATTTTGGCACAATTTTCCAAGTGGATTTACATTTTAAAGATGGAAGATTTGTTCACTAGAACAAGTAGTAAGACTTGCTCAAGACTTTATTCAAGTATCGTCCAAATATTAATCCAAACCCTTCATCGTCCAAATTCAGTATCGAATTATCAAAGATATGATCCCATTTAAGCTTCAAGCAATTCATCATCCATTATTCGAGATGTCAAGTTTCATGGTTTATTCTATATTGCAAATTCAAAGAAAATGTTTCGAATTTCAAAATGCAAATTAGAGGAAGTTTTGTTCATTAATATCCTCAAGTCATTACAAGTTGAAATGTTCAAAAAAAGAAGGAATTGCAAGACAAAGTTCAAATATCATCCAAGATTACATTCAAGGCGCAATTGCAAATGCTACAAGAAACTTCCAAGCAATACCAAAAAAACATATCCACACATTAGCTTGAAAACCTGTACACAAAGTTTGATTCAAATTGATACCGTTGCCTTGTTTTAATTTGCCAAAATTCTGTCAAAGTGTAAACAAGAAAATCAGTTCAGGCGCGACCAAAAGCAAGTCACTACTTTGTGCCTTGTACCCGTCAAAATCAGCAATTCATATATCTTGTTCTTTGCCTCAATTTAGAACCAAGCCATGCATACCTGTTTTGGAAAAATAACAGAAAAATAGAAGAAGTCAATCATAAACCACAAAATAAATTCCAGTTCAATAGATCTGTCCGAAAACCTGCATCAGAAAAATCAAAAGTATCCAAAACCAAAAGAAGCAGCTTTGCGTATTCGTCACATATATCAAGCTGTAGTACATTACTGAATACAGAAGGAAAACTGAATAAAAAAAACCTCACGATAACTAACTCTTGAAAGCTCCAATCCTCAATTTCTCAACAGTTTGTAACAGACATGGGAGAGTGATTAAACAGAGTCGTTCACAGCAGAAAAAGGTAGCATAACAGGAAAAAAAACAGAAGGAAACTTCAGAGAAAAAACTCATCAAAATTAGGCTCAATCCTACCATTTGTTTCTCTAACCGATTTTCAATACAGGATTGAGATTCATTCTAATCTCTAACCAACTCTTACAGATTTAACAAGCTATAAGATAAATCATAATATAATTCAAGGAGGGGGGATTCACTTTCCACAATTCATTCACCACAAGAAAATCATAGAAAATTAGCAAGACTCACCTTGAGATTCTTTCTTCCACACTTGGATACACTTGAATCTTCGTCAATTTCGCTAGGAGCTTCAACCGCATTACCATTATCCTCCATCATCATCTTCACCATCTTCTTTGAATCAACTTTTCAATCATCATCAATCTCTGAACCAAATTCTGCATATGATTCCTTAATCTTCTTCCATCTTCATCATGTTGCGTGATTCTTCAAACTCGACTCAGGTTCTTGCAATCACGATAGATCAGATTCTCTGCAATATCAATAATAACTTCTCATGATTCAAGATCTTCACTGATTTTACGCATAATCATCGTGTCAACGCAACAACAAAGTAAGGAAAAGAAGAATATATGAAGAAGAAGACTCATAGCGCGCATACCTGATTTGTCCCTCTGGTTTTATCATCTCCTGAGTCACACTCGAAGATGCGCCGGACAAACTCCGGCCGATAAGCCTCTTCCGTTCAGTTCTTTGTCTTTTGTGTTGTGTTTGAATACTTTAATTGGACGTGAACGATTGATGGAACGAAGGTAAGAATGAAGAGTTTGAGGTGGAGAAATTTCTATCATGTTGAGATGAGATTGAGACAGGAAATTGAAGTAGGGAACATGATGAGAATCTATGGAAGGCGGCGACGTGCGATCAGGGATGATGAGTCTGTAAGCGGAGAGATTGGCGGAGAAGCGTGAAAGTCGTCGCCGCCGTTTGAGGGAGAGGATAAAGGCCACTGCGAGTTGAGTCTGTAGATGGGGTTTCCGCTGTGTGAGGGAGAAGAAGAGATTGGCAGAGGATGTGAAGAGAATCAGAGACGGAGGTGGTAGGTATCGCGCCATTTGCACGAAAGAGAAGAAAAGTATGTTGTTAAGGAGTTCTAACATTCCTTCTCTTGACCTAACACAAGACTACACAGTTTCATCACATTCTGTTCATTTTTTTATTTCAGTTTTCATAAGAATATTATGGAATAGGCAAAAAAAATTGATGGTGTTGTTGGATCACGAACTAAACCATTTCTTCTTGACTCATTCACATATTTTTTATATACTTTTATGGATGATCACAAAAATTTTATCATGGGCTTGTTGTTTGGGCTTACACTCTGTAGGTCGTCTTGTTCTTATTTTTGGAGTCATGGACACAACAAAAAAAGGACCTCTCCTTGGACTATCCACATGGGCCTAGCGCCATATTTGTTGGAACAGACACCCCTGAGTCCAGTTTTCACTCCTTGACTATTTTCTAATTGTGTTAATTTTTTATTTTAGTAAATTTTTTGTTAAAATTTTCTTTAATAAAGATTAGTGATAGTGAAAAAAAAAAGGTAGAGTTTAGGATTTTCTAATCCTTCTTTGGTGTTGTTTTTTTTGTATCTTTCCATGGTAAAAATGATAAAAATTTGTTAGAATTTTTTTATTTTTGTTTTAGGAATTAATTCATGATTATACGATTATTTGAGGTTTGTGATTCACTTTTTATTTTTCGAGGTTTGAGTCTTATACAGGTTCATTGTTGATATGCGGATATGCTTGAGTTTTCGATTGTGATTTATTTTCACATCAATGATGCTTCGACGTTTATTCTCAGCATTTGATTTCTGACTCTTTTCTTTGTTTTCATGGTGAAGCTTGCGTGAAGTATTCTGGATTTCTTTTCTTTGGTTGTGCTTTTTACGGACATTATTGTTCATTTGGTATTATACTTCTTCCAATTTATCTTTCCTCATTTTATTGCTTTCTAGATGTCATGAGAAGTTGGAAATAAGGAGTGTGCCCTCGAAGTCGCTGTTTAAAGTCCTGTAGCAGGCACTACTTTCTGTATGTTATTTATGTTTGTTTAAAACCCTACCTTTGAAGTAGGTATTCCGTACATGTGTTTACATTTGTGCTTGCATCTATTCTCTCATCCCTTTTTGAAGTCCTCAAAAGGAGGCGAGCAGAAAGGGTTTACAATTGACCCCCACATTTCGTCTGTATCATCCTTAACTCGTGACGCACCACGATGCTTCGGAGTTGTGCCTCCTCTTGTTATCGATTCGTCAAGTGGAAAAGGGTTTTGCAACCAATCCCCCATACTTTGTCAGGAGTTTGCATTGGTCGATGCTGACACTCCGTGATTGTTCATATTTTCTTATGTCGCCTATCTCGATCTTCTATATCTTGGTTAGGTATTCTATCGCTTTAGACATCACATTTTTGTTTTACATCATATTCCCGCTTGTTTGCTTTGGATGATCCGCTCCCCTTAGCTAAAGCATTTTTCTTCTTTTATATTTCACTCCCGCTTGTTTATCTCGGGTGATCCGCTCCCCTTGACTAAAGCATTCCACTTCTTTTCTTTACCATTTCATGTGTGTGCTCTTTCAAGTTTGTTTGTTCACTCGCTTTCTATACCATGTTCCCTTAGGATGTACTTGTTCCTTTCGGATGCAAGTTAGACCTTAGGTTGCGAACCATACATGCTAACATAGGGTAGAGATTTCACTTTCCATCCTTGGCATAGGGTCATCATTGTATGATAACACTAGGTTAGAGATAGGTGAGTCTAACTTATATGTTTTCTTCCCATTTTGCATGATTGCATTTAAAACTAAAACTTATTTTTCTTGGCAAATGTATAAAACATGTTAGCATACCAAAAACCTTGACATCATTGTATGATAACACTAGGTTAGAGATAGGTGAGTCAAACTTGAAACCTCTTTCAAAATAAACCTTGACTTTGTCAAGTGATTTTCAAAATATTTTTCTTAATAAATGTTAAGACATCTTAAGCATACCAAAAAGTCATTTCAAAAGACTAAAAAACATCAAACTCATTCAAACCTTTTGTGCCCTTTGTGCACTTTTCCTTTTAAAACTTTTTCTCAAAGATTGAACATTAGTTGATTCTTGTAGTGATGCAAACCACTATACTACTATAATATGTTGTGAACTGATTGATATTTTCTACTTGAATGTTTAAAATTACCTTGTTGATTAAATTCAAGCAAAATTCTCCATATCAAGATGATGCAAATGCTCCTTCCTCATCACTGTGGATAGTGAGTGAGTTTTCAACTCGAATACGACAACATGTCTTTTCATTAAAATTAACCAAAATAAATAAGCTTTTGTTATTTTTACCATGAACTATGAGGTTTTGATTCTTCATTGCACTTGGTTGATATATAAGCACGAGGCTCTTGAAGTCTTGTCAAACAAAAATTATAAAAATAATTTATTTTTCCATCCCATCAATCTTTTTGCAAACAACTCTTTTTATAACATAAATTTTCAAGAGGTTCCTACAGAGTGCCATAGATGTGAGTGGTGTTAATACCTTCCCCTTTCATAACCAACTCATATATTCAAAAATCTCTTTTTATTGGTTTTGTTTTAAAAATGTTTTGTGGGTTTTGTTCGACCTTTTCCCCTTTCCTTTGGAAATAATAAAGTTAGGTGACGACTCTTGTTTTTTTAGTTCAGTTAATCAATAGCTTAATCTTAAATTTTCCCGCCGCAACAGTTTGGCGACTCTGCTGGAGATAACCTTAAGTGGGTTGAGTCTATCTTGTTTATTTGTGTTATATCATTGCTTGTTGTTTTTGCTCTTTGGTGCTTGGTGATCTCTCTGTGTGGTGAGAAGTAATATACCCAGACTTGAGTACACTTATAATTATGAGGGTGTTATAGTAATTCTTGATATACTTGGAGTTAATCCTTAGTATGTTGACTTGAGATCCCCTACTCGGTGGAGGCCTCTTTGACTGTAATGATGTCTTACGAGTGAAATTATAATGGTATGTTGCTTTTGGCCTGGGAGTCTGTGAAGCTAAGGACCTTTAGAACTCATTTTATCCATCTTGATCTTTTAGGATGTAGTGCGGTGACTATCCCAAATTATATTTGGTTTAGTTGATACATGATATACTACACTCAGACGAGTTTCTCTTGATAACATTATTGGTTGACGAGTAATTCGTTTAAACCGGTAATATCTTATAGATGGATCTACGACTCTAGGAACCTTGTTAGAACCTGGTTGCTTGTGCAGATGATGAAACCAATAATACACTCCTTGTGGGTTGGTTACCTTGGCTTCATGCTCGTGACGTCGTACCTTTGAACCTACCATGTTTGTGGTTGTGGCATAATCGTACATTCATGCATTCATAAACATCTTTTTCACCTGGTTTTCAAAGAACTTATGATTTCTCTTTGCAAACATCGCAGGAATTGTGATTATGGATTTTGGAAGGTGAAACACTCATAAGTTCACATACAAAAATCCTGAATTGAAGGAGTTGAGAAAACATGAATCTTTGGTGACTAGTCCTTTGGATTTCCTAGACCATTATGGGAAGCTTTTGCCTATCTTGTATACTGATGTTGAAGATGGAGCTCTGAACACCCTAGTCTAGTTCTATGATTCTTATATAGGTGTTTCACTTTCCCTAATTATCAGCTTGCACCTACTTTGGAGGAGTATGCTTATCTTATAGGGTTGCATGTTTCTAATCAGATTTCGTTATATAAGCTAATCTTATTACTAAACGTGATATTCTTGGTTTATCTAATAAGTTCTTGATGGATAAAGCTTCTACTCTCGCTAGTGCAGAAAGCATGATTGCTTTTGAAGCTATTCTTGCCTTGCTTCAGTTTGGTTCGTGAACTCTGCCCCTTGAAGAAAAACCCTCCTTCTGGGTTTGTGAAGAATAACCATTGAAAAATCTTCACATCAATTTTTAAGCTTATTCCTGTAAAAAAACTCAATTGGTTCAAGATCATCCTGGTATAATATCTTGGCTTTGTTTGTGGCCAGTCTGGTATAAAATTTCAGTTCAGTTCAGAGGACAACCAAATCAAAACTCTAACTTGGTTCGAGATAATTTTGTATAAAATTTGTGTTTGGCTTAAAGACTAACCTCTCAAAACCTTATTTTTTGTTTGACGTGAAGACTAATCGCTTCATTCCTTTATTCGTTGTTTGGTTGGAAGTTAACGTGAAACATCATTTTTTCTTTATAAGGGATTTCATGGGGATAAACCTTCTAAAAGCTCTCAAGTAGTATTATTGGATACTTTCAAGATCAATTCTTGAAGAAATTTTTTAGAAGAGAAGTATGTCACTTCATTTAAGCCGAACATCTATAAATCTATAATGTTATCTCTTTTCCTTTGTTTACTTTCCACATATTTTCTTTATCTTTACTTTCCTCTTCATATCAAAACTTTTTTTATTAAAATATTTTCAAAATCTAATTCAGAAAATAATTTTGTTTTAAAATATCATTTTTCAAATCTCCACAATTCAACCCCTTTTTATGGAAGGAGTCATAGTTCAACAATAATAAACTCTTTCCTATGTGTAACTTTTGGTGTAGCACCACCATTAATTATCCACATGCTTTCATCGGATACAAGATTAACTGATTCATAATATCAAGAATAAGAAGATCATAACTAGTAATATTAGTAATATTGTTGTCATCACTATCATCATGACCTATTTATTTCTACTTACTCTTCTTGCCTTTATTCTCCTTTTTCCAAAGAAAACATATATTATGTATGACATGTTCTAATACAATAATGAAACTTCATATTATTGTATCAACTCTTGAACTTACTCACCAACCTTTGGTTTTTTCTATCTTTTCCCTTATTTTCAATGACTAGTATTTAGAATGAGATGGAGAATCATGTGTATTTCTTCTCATCTCCTCATTATGAACATCACCCTTAGTTGTTTTCAAATAAATGACATCTTTATAGATTGAGCTCGTCATAGAAATCGGAAATGTCTCTCAAGACTACGGTAAAAATAACAATAAAAAATAGTCTAAATAACTCATTATATCAAACTGAATTTACTTTTTCGACGCATAATCAATGATCTC